CACAACTTTACACAGAATTTAGGAAAATTAAACAAATTTTCATCAAAATTCAACTTCTTAATCTCAATCTTTAGAACATTTTTGTGTATGCAGTTTTAAAGCCCATACAATTCTAATCCAATGAAGTACAAGTTTCAACCGGCTGAAAAATCGCGTTGATTTTTGAGAATTTTTTTTGCAGTCTACTTTTTCAGGTTTTTTTTTTATATAGCAAGTGCAATTTACAAAACCTGGCGTTTATTTTTGAAAATTTGTTGCAAACGGTCTCCCGCGTTTTATTTCATAAGAAATTCATGTTTATATGGAAAAAATCCGTCACAAAAAAAACATAATTATAAAAAATCAACGGTATTTTTTAGCCGTTTGAAACTTGCACTTTTTAGACTATAATTGTATGGGCTATAAAACTGCATACCCGAAAATGTTCTAAAGATTCAGAGTAAAAAGTGGAAATTTTGTTGAAAATTTTTGAATTTTCCTAAATTTTTTCGCTGCTGTGACTGATATGTTTTTGGGTAAAGCTTGGACGATAGTTTTAGAGAAAAATAACACAAAAAAAAAAAATTTAGCTCGAAAAACATCGCGAATTTAAAAAAAAAATCAACGGGTGGTCATTTGTATGAGTCACTGTATATGCCAAAGCACTTAGCACACACGTGTACGCAAATAAATGTGTAATAATGAATTTTTCGTATATCCCACGCTTCCTTAACTTGTTGAATGTCCTTCAAGCCACAGCGAGCAAAGAATGCAATTACGTTATTCCTTGGCTTTCTATTTAATTAGAAATTTTTTTTATCCTAACTTGGGTAAGTTGAAATTAAAAATTTATTTGGAATGACGAACGAAAATTAATACCGACTTCTTAGTGCGCAGATAAAAACGTAGCAGCTAATACCTGCTGATTGGACGCAAGTAAGTACTTTTTATGTCCACTCTTTACCATTAAATGCCAGGTTCTTCTACATCAAATAATGTCTACCTATCTTTAAATATTGCTTTAATTTACTATGACACCCATGTACGAACTGGCTTTAAATAAATCTTCACTGCGGTCGAGAAAAATCAACCTTATTGCTGTTTTTATTGCCATTATTGCCATTATTCCATTATCCCCAATCTAGCCAACAACCATTTAAAGGTTGCAATTAATTTTGTTGTTGCGCGCCGCAGGGGTAGCATGTCACACAAAAGTCAAACATTATCAAAGTTGTTCAAGTGGTTAAAGTGCAGAAAATTGGTAATTGTTTAATTTTACTTTTATTGTTTGTGTCTCTTTTTTTGCTATTTTGGTTTTTATGAATCTCACAGCAAGTGAGAGAATGTCATAGCAACGCTGTTGTAATTAATTTGATTTGCGTTGTAATTGTAGTGAGTGGAAGAAAAAAGGTATGCCAGACTGAGAGGGTCATAAGAATGGAAGACCAAAAACAAAAAAAAAAAATAACATATATAATAAAATAAAGTAAAGAATGTAGATTGAGAGACGATGACAACAATCTTTTAAAATGATAAACAAAAAAAAAATTAAGTCAGCGGGAGGGCAACCAAAGGATATGCATACAAATAGAGAGGGAGAAGAAAATTAAATAAAAAATAAAAATAACAAAAAAAACACGCATAAATGCAAACGGCTGAAAAGTTTTAATTAGCACAACACGGGGCGTATGAGCAACTTTGCGGGCGACATTAATGCCGATTTCGCCTCTAGCGAAAAATGCAACCTTCTCTTTGCCCTCTACGCACAAACATTAAGAATAGGGCGATGAGAAGGCAACATTTTTTGTAGAAACGAAATCGCCATAATGTGTGCTCCCGGCGAGCGTATGGCGTATGCAATTTGCCGGCTATAAAGTGCAAACGCAAGTTCACCCCGTCAAATGTGATGACTACAAAGGCGCGAGGACAGAGGAATGCCACAACAAACGACAGTATGTAGAGCAAAAAGTACGAGATGAGTCATGCGACTAGTAACTCTTTTTTTTTGTTGGATTTATGTTGAATAGTTATTTTTTTTTTGGTTGGGCATTTTGTGCCAAGAGAATAATTGTACCCGGAAAGGTGAAAAAAGAGGCTATTCGGTTTGAGCATCCTTGTGGAGGGGGTTCAATTACAAGCCGGTTTCGCCTTAACCTTCATCTGCTCGGTAGTCTAAATATGTAGCATTTTTACCGAAAATTTGTAATAAATAAAATATTTCCACTACAGCCATGTACGAGGTTTTCTGTAGCTTTCTCTTCTTCCTTCTTATGAGACCTTCCAGATCCTTTTTTTGAACCATTACCATACCATTACCATATCGATGTTCACTTCCCTGGCAACCCGAATCCAGAGAATATCCCTTTGGAGGCTGAAAATCTCCGAAATAAACCGCTCGGATATTACGTGTGACGATCGCCTTCTGTGTGCAGGTGATTCTTTCAAGACCTTCAAGGCCACGGGTCTAGACGGTTTTATGCCAGCTCAACTGCAGAAGTGTGCGGCGGTGTCGTGCCGCTGGCTGATGCCTATATTCCTAAGGTGGGTAAGGTCTCTCATGTATCACCCGGGGAATAAGTCTTTCCTTGTTTCTTTTAAGGCTTATTGATCTGCAAATAAGAACAGCATTCTCAGTGCCCTTCCTTTAATCAGCATGCCTACCGCAGAGGTAGATCCATTGAAACGGCCAGTGTAACGATTTGAGAGTGCTGATGGACCACATCGGGTTAAAAAGTTGACATAATGGCCTATAAGGGAAAATTGGGGCAAATTATATAATCATTATATTCAACCCCCGCAAAAAATTCATTGAAAAATGAACTTTCGAAAAAAAAAATGATTACTTTGCTGGCTAGCTGCAACAAGCAAATTTTAGTTTTTTGTTTTATGAACTTTTCTTGCAGATTTTCAGCCGAGAAATTCAATTTTGTTGCCAAGAGTTGACTAAAAAATCTTTTTTTTTAATTGCAAAGTTGCATCTAAATTTTTACCATTTTAACTAGATCTTTCAGAAGTTTCTTGAGTAGCAGTTTTGCAGCCCATTAAGGTTAATAAGAATAAGGTGCAAGCTTTAGGTTGCTGAAAATTCGCGTTAATTTTTGATAATCTTCTTTCTGACTATATTACGCATTTTTTTTTACACACGGTCGTTGATAGTTTTGAACAGTCTCTTACGCAGAAGGAATACGCGATTGGTAGCTTCTTTGATATCGAGGGCGCTTTTAATGACGTCTTGCCTGAGGCTATCGTAAACTGCCTGAAGAGGCTAGCGGTCGGAGCCCACCTTGTAAGGTTTATTTGTTGCGACAGAATGGGTAGCGCTTCAATCCGGCGATGTCATTCGCCGTTGCTTTGGGTTACTTTCGTCAAGGACCTGTTGGTGACTCTGAAGTGACTGCTAACACGGGGAAAGTTTCTAGAAACACTTTTTGAACTCATGCAGGGTTACCTGAAATTGGCTGAAAACTGGGCTTGTAGCTGCAGGCTGGGTGTTATACTGACTTATACTGATAGGGTAAAATATTTGGGCTTGATCCTTGCCAGCAAGCTTTCCTAGAGGAAATCGGCAAGAAGGCAACGGTACCCTTATATTGCTTAAGGTCGGCCATTGGCAAGCACTGGGGTGTCTCACCGAAAGTAGTTCATTGGCTTTATGAAATTATAGCTAAGCCAATTTTATTTTATGGAGTATCCGTCTGCTGGAATGCTCTGGGCAATGCCTTCATCTTGAAGCCGCTAGAAGGAGTGCAAAGAGCAGCCCTAATTTGAGTCCATGGGGCATTTCGAAGCCCTCCTACTCTGGCGCTTAATGACATGCTAAACGTCGTGCTTATAAATATTAGCAGGCAGAGCTGCCGCTACCCTTGCCGTAGTAAGGTTAACGGGGTTGGATTCAGGTTCGCCTTCGAGTTCCTACCAACTCGAACAGGCCACTAAATGCCGATTTTGGGCCCGAAGGGATCTTTCACCATCCATATCTCAGCGATGGAGGACTGGGAGGAGTGCAGTATTTGTAATCGGGGTCATGTTTAGTATTTAAGGATGGATCGAAGCTCAATGAGAAGGCGGGTAGAGGTGTGTTCTATGAAGAACTCTCCATGAACCTGAAGTTCAGGCTACCGGATAACTGTAGCATTTTCTAGGCAGAGGTTACTGCAATACAGAAGGCGTCGTATGGATTGCTCATTAGTGGAATGTCTTTCAAGGAGGTGAATACCTATTCCGACAGCCAAATAGCCATCAACGCTCTGGGCACTCTGATGTTTCGGTCGAAAACGGTGAGGTATTGCTTGACATCCCTATCGACCACATTATTTGGGCTCCAGAAAATCGCTGGAAACTGCAAAGCTGATGAGCTGGTAAAACTAAGAACATTTGAGTAAGCGCTCCTAGGCAGAGCTGGTCTGGGTACTGCCCTGACCTCGACAGGTCTACTCTTGGACAGACGGGCGATTGGTCAGCTCAGTGGGCGGATACCGTGGAATGCAAAGTGGCAAAATCCTTCTGGCCACGTGTAAACCAGGGGCGGTCCAGAGAACTCTTGGGACTAAGAAAAGTACACCGCTCGCGAGGGGTGGTGCCCTTATTTCACCAGCTGCATGAAGGACGTTGAGGTGGAATCATCTCAAAACCTGCCGCTCTGGTGTCCTGATTTTGCGAGGTTTAAAAATCTTGGGTTGCACTTTTTCCACACTCCCGATGAGCATTCGGGAATGGATATCAGTAGCTTCGTGGTGAGCACGGAGCGTTTTTCTTATAAAAAGTCGTGGGTTTCAATGCTTTCCTTCCCCCCCTATATTGCATTTTCCTGAGTTTGGCAAAAAGTTTAGAGATGTAATTTTTATGTTTTTTTGTTGCATTTAGTTTTAACTATATTTTTATAAAAAATTTGCGAAAGGAATTAGAATAAAAAAACTTTGCATACATTGCGAAAAATTCTCTGTGCCAATACTTTTATCCAGAAGTGTATGCTCAGACAACTACTACTATGTATGTATATATTTACACACATCTCTACTTACTCAATTTCAGGTAGCATTGCAAGTAGAATGCATCGCCCAGCATCGTATTTAGCAGACCCATAATGCCTTGCGGGAATTCAGTAATGAGAAACAACAACAATACCGCCAATAACATACGCGTCGTCCGATCTGTTTGTTTCTCCTTTTCCAACGTTTTGCTATTTTTGCGTGGTCGCTGTTCCATCACTTTCCCATTGACGATGGGTTTCATGCCATTGGCTGCGTTGCTAGTTAGCATTTTGCGTCGTCGTTTGGCCTCCAGCAGCGCTACTATCAAACGCACCGATAGTATCGTCAACGCTATGCAAGGTATTAATTTGATGAGTACACTGTAGATGAGGAAGGTTGAGTTGAGTAAGGATTTGTTGTGCAACGCCAAATCGCTGTGATACAGCTTGTATACGGTGATGTTATGATGGGCCAGCTGCCATGGCGATGGCGTTGACGATGTTCCTAATGCCGGTGTGTTCGTTGTAATTGCTCTCGCAGTTGCAGTTGCAGTTGCAGTTGCAGCTGCTGTGGAAGTAGTTGTCGATACCATGCCGGACAAATCACTCATATTCCATGCCATGGCTACTGCCGCTGCGGAGGTGGTACCAACTGCCAACGTACTGCTATTACCTGCCGTCGCCCCCACTGCCAATGCTGATGCGGTAACCTGTGCATGCGACCGTGTCAGATTCGCCATCTCATTATAGTAATCGATTATGTACTGAGTTAATGGCTCTGAGTCTAGCGGTTTGCCATGCTCATCTATGGCTTCTAGGAATTCCACTATTGCGGTGACCAAGTACAAAGATGGTGATACCACCAGTATACAGACGATGTATGCTGTGAAGATGGTGTAGAGCGTGGTGCGCATGCCACACCAGATACTATTCTTTTGCGGATAACCAACGGCTATGTAACGCCACACGGCCAAAGTGACAGTCAGCCAAATGCTAATTGTATGCAGCACTTGTGCGAATATCGAGTGGAATTTAATGAAGCAAGCCCAGACATAGCTGAGGCGCTGTTCGCGAGGCAACTGATTGGCAAGTATGTAGTCGTGTGTGGTGTAGGGTATATACTCGAGCATGACGGCGAGATCGGCCACCGCTAGGCCGGTGAGTATGGCATTGGTGGGTGAACGCATCTCCTTGCGCGTCAACACGATGATGTTAAGAGTGTTGGCTACGGTTCCCAGAATGCAGACAATTAGCGAGATGTAGCCATGCCAGATTTTGTAACTGAAAAGATAAAGAGAGTATGAAGAATTAATTAGTTGAGAAAATATGGATTCTGTAGAATTAGTCTTATGTAGCTTATAATTTTAGTCGAAGAGATTCATTAGGTTACCTAAGAAAACTCAGTGCAATGTAGAGAAACAGTATGTCTATCAAATTAAAGAGAAAATTCTCTGGAATTAAGGCCAATTAAATTTTTTTGTACATAAGGACGATTAGGCATTGAAAATGTCCTTTTCACATTTTATCATTGAGTATCCTTGAAATTTTACAATAATTATTTTTGAGAAAATTACATGTTGTTTGTCCCTCTAACTTTATTTGCTTAAAAAATAACACTAATTAAAAGGACACACAAGCTATTCGTCCCTTTGAACCAAAAAAATTGAATTTTTGGAAATCTACAGAATTGTATCTTTAATTTGGTGCCCATACTGGATTTCTATGCTGCAATACATTTTTTAAATTATTTTTTGAATTAACCATATCTTTGAAACAAAGTTCTTTAAAAAAAATTCTGTCGTCAGTGAGAAAAACTAAAAACGCAATTTTACTATATTTGGCCCACAGTTTCGTGAGTATATTGATTGCTTCATGTGTTTCGATTATTATTATTATTTTTTTGTCGCACAGTGTTATTATTATGGCTCTTATGCACCGCGATCTCTTAAGTGGTCTATTGTGTGTGTACCTTCGACCTACATGGGAATGCTTCTAACGTAGTCTAGCGCTTCCATGGGCATCACGTTGACAGAGAATGTGTTCTGGCGTTTATTTGTCCAGCTCACATAAGCGGCGGACGTTTTTTTTCGGAGAGATTCATTTTACTGAGACGATAGCGAAGGGAGCAGCGTTCAGTATACTAGCCACTGAGAGTTTGAGGTCCTCTCTGCCTAAATTGAGTAGTTTTTATGAAGCTTCTTTTGAGGGACAGACAAATCGTTTGACTTTTCTCCGCTCTTTTGTATACCCAGTTATTTATGGTCCCCTTTACGTGTGTTTTGGTGAGCCCACAAAAGGGTTCCCGACCATAAAATACTGGGTTAGCTCCCAGTTTCGCTAGACAGTTAGCCTCCTCCTTGCCATCATCTCCCTCAAGCCCTAGTACTTATCCTAAAAAAAAGTGTACTCTTTGCTCCAAGAGAATTTAGGACATTGCGGCAATCATATACTAGCTAAGAATTTATCTTGTGGGATTTCAGGGCCAGTAAGGCTTCAGATATATTTCAATGATATGCCCCTTCTAAGAAATTCTCAGCCACAAATTTCTATTGCATGAATCTCCGCTCGAAAGATGATAGGTAGCTACCCATTGGCATCTATTTTTTGAAGTTCGGTCCACAAAACCCAGCCTGAATTTCACTATTTTCAAGTTTAGATCCATATGTGTACCAAACCATCCCATTACATTTGGTGAATGTGTTCCCTGCATTCCAGAGAGTTCGATCTGCAGTTTGTACTTTTAATTTCCCAGAGATTTCTAGGTTTGGAACTATTGCTTCATGGGCTCGTTAGCGAATTTCATTATGACATTCATGTGACCCGCCACATTTGAGATTTTCAGTTCGGAGGTTTTTAGAACTCTCAATGCCGCTGTGGCGCCTCTTTTTCTATTAAAATAGGAAATAATTAAATAAGCGAAACGAAAGGGAGGTAATCCACCGAAGGCGCTAAGTGCCTCAGCTGGGTAGGTCTTCATAACTAGTATTATGCCAAAACACCCTATTCTGTGCAGTTTACTTAGTTTAGTGCTTGCGGTTCTTTGTGTAGCCTGAAATAGTACACCATGATAAAGAAGAATAAGTTACTATTGGCTTTATGACCGAGTTTAATGACCAATAGGTTATTTTGGGAGTAGGACCCTATGTTTTATCAAAAAGACGTGCACAGGCAAAGAAAGCTTTCATCGCCTTTCTGATAACAGCCTCAAAATGTGCATTCCAGTTGAATGTTTTATCAAGAGTTACCGCCAGATATTTAGCTTCACTCGAAATTTCTATTTCTGTGCCACTCAAATTGTGTATTACCCAAGTCACTGTTCACAGTTACAAGTTTGAAAAAGTATGCGGTTTCGTTTATTTAGACACCAGCATTAACACCAATAATAATATCAGTTGGGAGTGATTCTCCCTCCTGTCAACATGTTTGACTTCGGACTGAGTAGACAATTGAAAAGTAAAGTCGTCTCCTGTAGCACGCAAACCACACTATATAAGTCACTTATAGTACCACTGCTGGTATATGACGCAGAAGAATTGGGGGGGCCTTGGAGTGTTTGAGTAAGAGCTTTACAACGACATGGACATAGTGAATTGGGTTAAAATAAATGGACGCAGATGCTCCAGCTCTGAATTTTTCAACGCGTGTCGCGTTACTGGCAATAGAGGCAGAGCAGGGCCTCTTCAACATTGGAAGGACCAGGTGGGGTAGCACTTGTCTTCACTTTGCATTTCCTATCGGCGTTAGTTGGCACAAAAGAGAATCGATTAGCTTTCTTTGGTGGACTCGGCAAAAATACAGCGACAATAAAGAAAAAGAAGCTGGAACATGGACATTTTTAAAAATTAGAAAAAAATAGTTCCCTTTGTTATCTAATGGTTGGATTAGGCTTAAAAGTTGCAAAATGGTGATATTTTTTTACAAAATATTTTCGAGAGAATGAATCTGGTGTTGTGAGGTTGATTTGGGAAATTTTATAGAAATAATTTTTTGAAAATTTTTCGCGATTTCCCGATAAAAATATCGATAACAAAATAGATGACAAATTCTATAAAAATTTCGATAGCAAAACCAATAATAATATTGGTAGCAAAATCGATTAGAAACTCGATAGAAATATCGTTAACAAAAACGATGAAAATATCGATAAAAAATCGATAAGAAAATGGATAAAAATATCGCTAAATAATCGATAACAGCATCGAGAAATAATCGATAACGGAATCGATAAATCATCGATAACAAATCGATAACAAAATATATAACACAGTCGATAAAAAATCCATAAATAATCAATAACAAAACCGATGAGAAATTCGATAAAATGTCGATAACAAAATCGATGACAATTTCGATAACAATTTCGATAGAAAAATCGGTAATAATATTGGTAGCAAAGTCGATTAAAAAATCAATAAAAATATCGATTAAAGTATCGATAATACTGGTAGCAACATCGATAAAAATATCGTTAACAAAATCTTTAAATAATCGATAACAAAACCGATTAGAAAATCGATAAAAATAACGATAACAAAATCGATGAAAAATATCGAAAGAAAAATCGATAACAAAATCGATAAGTAATCGATAACAATATCGGTAACAAAACCGATAAAAATGTCGATTATTATATCGTAAGTCCCGAGAATACCGAAAATCTCTAAAATCCCAAAATAGTTCCCAGATTGAGTCTCTGTGTCTCTATCTATATCCTTTTCTCTATAATTACCATTAAATTTACCTTGGTCTTCATTTTTTCCTTTATCTTTACGCATCTTTGGGTTTGTTTTTATTTTTGTTTTTACCTTTGCCTTTATCCTTTCTTTATCTATGTACGTACACAATTGCCGTTGAATTTGCCAATTTACTCCCAACCAACCAACCGCCGCTAAAGAAGATTCCCTTCAAAAAAAAAAATCAGTGAGCCCTCTCTCAATTGGTACTATAACATAAAAAATTGTGAAGAAATACCAGATACAGGAACCAATTGCTGTCCAATTTGGCGTGGAATGCCAAGCATGTAAGTTGTTTTGAGCAAAAGAACAAAATTAATAGGGTATGCTTATCACATTCGGCAATAAATATATCTCTTATATTCACGGACACCCTAATGTACAAGCATACACACAGCGGCTGATCAAGTGTTAAATAACACAATTAAAAGTTTAATCTCGCAAGTACGACACACTTTCATTTTCTAATACCAACACACTTTCTAAACCTTCATCTGAATGAGATGGCAATGAGCAAAAAAGAAAAATTCATGATTTTAATTATTTAATGCGTCAAATCATGACGGTGGCTATTATGGGTAACACCTACTAAAAAACTCATCTCTCCAAAGGCACACCAATTCTTTCTCCGAAGTACGCTTGCGTAAGTGTAATTAATTTAAAATATATTTTTTCCTATGTGAAAAACGAGCCGAAAGCGAATAGCAAAGAGAAAAGGTGTATGTATGTAAGTACCTGTACAATGACATGGCGTATGCAACACTCGCCTACTACCCGCACACTTGCGTAATTTCAACAAAGCAGCAGCAGCCGGTGGGAAATTGCATTAACACATTCACACAAGGTGAAAACAAATTGCAAGCATAAGCACTCTCATATACATATAAGCAGTGGCAGTAGCAGACGCACACGTTCTCATAATGCTGACACATTAATTTAGACATTAAATGTCAACTTAGACGCACCAACTCTAAATGTTCGCAGACACAAGCTAAACATGCATATTTGCAGATGTGTGTGTGCGTGTGATTTACGCGTGTAGACGCACTACATACAAGCGACAATGTCAGAACAAATCAACATGAAGTGAATGAGAAAGCTTTGCGACAATCACAGCGTGGGTTCACGCAACCAACAACAACACCCATACAATGAACTGCGCGTAAACGAACACGCACGCACACACACACACACACAAAGAGGAACACTCGCTACCATACATGCATACACCAATTGTACGCACGAGTGAAGCGGAAAGGGGAATTGGATTGCTCGGAAGCAATTAACAAACCGCAATGTGTTTGCTGCCTGGCACTACATGGCGTATACGTAACACATGGGAATTTATAAGGGGGGTTTTTTTTTTGGAAAAAAGAAAAACTGAGTGCACATGTGTATGAATAAATAGTAGATGGGGTAATGTGTGCTTATCTAAATGTTTCTGTTTATTGCTCACTCACTTAGCTATATTAAATATATACGCAACTTTTTGAATTTGTAGTAATTGTCGCAGATGCGTTTTGTCTGCATTTTAACATTTTACACAGACAGCAGGTTAAGGTCAATCGGGGAAATTGAATTCATATTCAATCATGTTATGCAAAAGTAGGCTATAACATGTGAATATATATATACGTTTTTGTGGAAACAAAATTTTCGGAAAAGTAGTCATAACATAATTATAATGTATCCTTATGACAATTTAATAATATTGTAGTCATAGTTCCCATCCGACACATTTTTAGTTCTGCCACAATATGCAATAAAAATCATTGGACCTTCTGTACAGAAATTGAGCTTAACACAGTTTTTGTAATGATGAAAAGAGCCTAAGCTAAACGTTAGTTAGTTCTGGACTCCAAGCAAAAAAATGTAAATAAACGCCGTGGAGAGAGTATATGAACTCCAGTAATTAGAAGGCTTGTAGCCTATTCAAATAGATACGGAAATTGGTAATCTAACGGCTGTTTGTCAGTTGGAAAACTGGGGTAACTAGTAGTGAGGAATGTAAAAACTGATTTTCGATACTCAAGGGGCTGTGATTAATATTTTTTCTAACGTCTTTTTAAGGCCTTAACCAAACTATGCTTGAGTTTAATACTCATAAATATATATGTAAATATGTAGTAGTCACTCTGTATTTACTTTTTAACCTTAGTCCGAAGAGTAGTTCGAACATTACAAATTCTTATGTTTAAATAAATTTTACATACAAAACCATGATAAACGATAACAAAGTAAAATCGTTGAGAGGCAGTCTGACGTTTGCTAGTAATATAATTTAAAAATTTAAAAATCAAACTCACACACACATTCTCATTCTCAATCGCAAACCGCAACAATTGTGAACAATTTAATTTTTTTATTATACATTTTATATGATTTTAAAATGCTTGCAAACGTCAGAAAAAAATCATGGCCGACGATTCTTTCAATTCAATTTCAATTTACCTTGTAATGTTTTTATCATGCACAAAACTACTACATATCGACACCTTTGCGGAAGATCGACCTATCTCGGCAGCCAGTTCGAAAACGCTCTATCTCAGAAAACTTTTCAAGAATGCCCTATTTTAGAATTTGATTGAAGAACGCCTTATCTCAGACTTCGGTTCAAAACCGCCCCCTACTCAGCTGCCGGTGCGAAAACGCCCAATCTTAGCACATTTTCAATATATTTTCATTTGAGATAGGGCGTTTTTGAACCGAATTCTTCGATAGGGCGTTCTTCAATCAAATTCTGAAGTATGGCGTTCTTGAAAAAGTTTTCTGATATAGGGCGTTTTTGAACTGGCTGCCGTTGTTGTTGTTGAAGGTTGATCTTCCACTTAGGTGTCGAAATACTCTTTCAATTTGATCTACAAAATAGTCTATAAAACCCTAATAAGACCAAAAGGGTCCAAGAAGGCGGGGATTCGTGGTGCAAAATGTCGCTATATTATTTCCATTATTGGGTCTGACACTTTTGCCTGTGTGAAGCTCCTTTTGTAAATTGAAAAGCATTATATTGTACGAAAATAGCTTACGATAGATAATACATATCTGAACTGAAGCAGTTTTTTTATGAAATGTTTTATAAAATGAAATTACCAAGTGATTAATAATTTAAACGATTTCTCTAATTTTTTTGGTAAAATCGCGACCGCTACCGCCGCCAAAATTGACGCGCCTCAGAAATTTCCTAATATTTATTAAAAAATGTGGAAAGTCGTATTTTTGAAAAAACGTATTTATACATTAAAAATCATAAAAAAAATTGTGAACATGTTACATCCAAAATATGTAATTAACATACCATGCGTTAGAAAAGTTCCGAAAAAATTTAAAAATGAAAATTTAAGTTTTTTCGCCTTCTAAATTTTTTTCATCTAAAAGTTTGAATTTCTTAAAATGGAAAAGAAACCAATATAAAAGAAGAGAGTTATAGAAAATATGGCTACATGCAGGACCTTATAAAACTCTTTCATAATGTACATATGGTCTTTATTAAGAGCCTTCCAAAACCCTTATAAAAGCGCAGTCTACTACTACTAAATAGAACCTTATATAATCTTTATAAAACCAACTGTTCTTCTTACTTAGTGTTTAGTGTTATCCGCGATACTCTGAGTGCATGTATGGAACTTTTTGTACATACCCTCTAACCCAACATACCACGATTTCCCTACTATTTTTGAAATTTTTTAATTCATAATTGAGCTTAATTTGTTTTTTGTTTCTTCTAATTTTATGTGAATTTCATTTTTTGGAAATAACCAGTTATTAAATTAAAAAAAAATAATAATTTTACAAAGTTAGTCTATTTTCTATTTTTTACTATTGAATACTAAGTAAGCCGCAACCAATAGCTTTTATCACGGGAATTGCTTGTATCAAGTATGTAGTATGCAGCTCTGATTAATTTTATAATTTGTTTCCTCCATTATGATCCAGTACTTCTTTCTGACAATATCGTGTGGTTTTACATTTGTGTATGTATGCATGTGCGCAATTAAAAACATCACATGTACATATTTACCTGGTGTGAAAGTTGTCAAGGCCACTGCCACAGTATATCGGCTGAGATTCATTTGTGGCCATTATGTTGCTGTCACTTAATTTTCAGTACTTCAGAGAGTAACGAATACGCACGTAGGCTTGCTGATGGCGCGTGAAATTTTGTTGTTTTTTGTCTGTTTCAGATTTGCTTTTTTTTTTGTTATTCCGGCAGTCGCTGATTTTATTCCATTTTACTTCGCACGCAAATAATCCCCTCGTAAATGTTGTATGGCGGTTGATTGCATTCCAAGGTTGCATTTCAATCCAATGCGCTGGAAGAAATGAAAAAAAGACATATTTGTGTGAAGTACTTAAGTAAAATGAAAGCGGCAATATTTTTTCAAGTAATTTGTTTACAGAAAATCTACTTGCAATGTGTGAATGAAACCAAAAGCTTTGATTGCAGTTTTACATTTATATGCTGTCGGCTTTCGAATATCTTAAATCAAGCTAATTGGCTGACAAATGAAAATTAAACGCTCTTATTTAAAGCTAAAGGATTTTGCAATCACAGCCGAGGAGGTGGCGCTTTGTGTATTCGAGAGAAAGACTTTGCGGATGATTTACGGACCTTAACGCGCTCGCGATGGCGAGTAGCGCAAACGATGGAATGAGGAGCTTTATGAGCTTTACAAATATATAGCCATAGTGCAGCGAATTAAAAAATACAGCGGCTCAGCTCTGTTACTACTAGCCGACCAGGATGAAAATTTTTATAGAAAAAATATAAATTTAAAAGAAAATGCGTTCGCTGTGACATAATTTCGGTACCTCAAACACATCTAAATTCGGCCAGCTGTATTCTCCGGGACATTCTCTTTCACAGACCATATGAACACAGTGAGAATCATCAACGAGCTGTGCACCGAATTTAGAGCTGATCTGCATTTGATGTTTGCCGATTTCGAAAAGGCTTTCAATAGCAGGGTTCGTATTTGCACACACATGTGCAGCACATCCTAACATTTTAAGCTCACACACGTGTGCTGTGCATATAAAAAATTAAAAATTTGCTCACATCACATGTGTGTGCCGTTTGGTAAAAAGCACGGGCACATGTGTGTACTTTCTTTTTATTAATGTAAAGCACACGCACATGTGTGTGCTATGCGTAGAGAAACTTATACACTTCGAATTCTAACTCAAATCTTAAAATAATTTGTTAATATGTTTTCTGTCATATAAAAAACAAACAACATCTCACTTTTTATCATTGTATAGGCTTACAAGTATGGAAAGCGCCATTTTGTTTGTTTACATTTGAAAACAGCTGAGATCACCTGATTTTCAATTCTCTCATTCTCCGCACAGAGTTACATTCAAGTTTCAGAAAAAACTTTAAAATGTAAATTGAGAAATATTTTAGAAAAATGTGTTTTTATTCATTTGAATTCAATAAAAAAGAAATTAAAAATGCGTGCCAAGTCTTGCATTTCCAGTAATAACGATAAATGTGTATGTTCCAGGCAATAATTTAAAATATTTGTGAAACTTATCGTTTTGCGCTAAAATACAACAATGTGTGTAAAATTCGTTGTCATTGCTTCTGTGTTGAATATCATATTCGTGCCTGCCGGTGGAAAAAATAGGTAGATTTGCATTTATTTTCAAGAAAATATATCAGTTAAAATATATTTCTTTCCAGAGCGACATACGGACAAGTAAGATGATAAATTTGTATGATGAATATCGCGGAAAAACTTTTGTATCAAAATTTCTATTCTAATTTGCATTGGAATTATGATATCAACAGGGATGATTTGGGACGTATTTTTTGAAGACAATTTTCTTATAAATATTGAGATTGTTGATTTATTTTAGAATTAAAAAGGTAGTTTATATTAAAAAATATATTTACACTAGCAGTATGTAAATTACTTTTATTCCGAATTGAAACGATTTTAATGAATATTCATGGTTACCATTAATAGTAGTATGACAGTTAGATCTAAATGCATATTTGACAAGAAAGATAGAATACAAGATTGCGCCGTCCTGGCGGCGATGACATATCTGTACAAAAAGTAATAAAAGTCGAATTGGATGTTGAAAGAAAATGTGAGAACAGCAAATTTTCTTAATAATAAATTTTTCGATAAGGAACGAGTTTTGATTGTGCTAATTTGTAATAGCCTTATTCATAAACAATAAAGTAGCTTAAAAAAGGCTTATAAATTGAAAAATGTTTGTAAACGGGAATTTAAAAAGCTTTTTAAAATTTTTATTTTTTATTAATAAGGCAATAAAAATATGTGATTTACAATAACTTTTAACAAAGGAAATACGAAATAAGGTGATTTTTGTGAAAGTGGGTATTAGTGAATTTCAGTGCATTTAAAGTATCTGAGGTTTCGTTTACCTTTAGATCAGAATTGTCAAAATTGAGAAATTCAAAGTAGCGATACAATAATCATAGAAAAGAAGATTGCGCCCTGCTGTGATGATGAGTAAATTTACCACAATGAGGAAGAATATAACAATTAAGTGAAAAAAGTTTATTTTTACAAATTTAGTGAGCAATAACGCGTTTCACGAACGACGTTTCAGACAAATCGTTAATGAACAACTATTTTTCCTTCCCGTCTGCTTTGGTTTTGGCAAAAAAGTTGATAAGCTCCTGACGGCGATCAAGCCATTTCAATCATAAAATATATTATTTGCAAGAACCATTCACTAAAATTGTAACTAACTTTTTATTATTTATTAATTCCTTTTTGATATTCAGCAATAACAAGATGGAAAAAAATTATAAACCAAAATTAGTAATATTTTTATGAATGTAGTTATAAAAGTTCACAGAGGAAACGCCGGAAAACAATGTATTGGCAACAACATAAAATTTATGGCAATTTAGATGTCAACAGAATAATAACTACGATAAAAAAGCATGAAAGAAGTGTGCGAGAAACGGTCAACAAATTTCTTATAAAATATTTTGATTTTTGCTGGGTGTAAATGAAAACTCAATGAGTATTAAGGAAAATAAAAATTTGAAAATAATAAACAGAAAAAGAGATGGGTGCACAAAAACTTTAGTTAAATGTTTTTCCCAAATTCTTAAAAAGTAAGCAAATCGATTTTTTTTAATGGTACTTTACATCTATTTTCTTTTTTATAAATAAGGTCATAAGCATGTACCGTTTTTATAAATATATCTTATAGCAATATGCTATATATTTATTTATACACTTTTTGGCTGGCGAAATATGTAATTTTTCAACTTAATAGAAAAGCGTATTTAACCACATTACTTTTTTTTAATATTGAATGGCGCAACACAACAACTCTTTTTGTTGCACGAAACCCTTGAACACGTGCCTGTCATCTATTTCTTCTGTTTCGACATTTCGGTATTTTGCATTTCTTTCATTTTGACGTCATTCGTATTGTCAGATTTTTGAAATTCGTTTTGGTTCGACATTCTGCTATTTCATAATTCTTTCATTCTCATGTCATCCATCTTCCTTTTTTTACATTCCATTGCCGTTCGCATCATCGAACGTGCCTGTCAAACACTGCCGCCATCATGCTTTTCAGTTTGGCAGGCACGTCCGCTGTTAGAAAGAGAATAGACAAGAAGGGGCATAGGATTCCATACTTGTAAGTATATACGATGCTTTTTATTGAATTGTCTTTCAAAAAATAACGTTTAATAAACAAATTCTTTTAAGAATATATTATGTGCACGTGCATGGGCTGAAATTTGTACAAAAATCGGCTCACACACATGTGCATGTGCTTAATAACAAACAGCACACACTTTTCTGTGAGTAGAGTTTGTTTTCCACTTATGCACACACATGTGTATGAGCAGTGAGTGCAAGTTGAATGTGTTTCTGGCGTGTGTGTGAGCAGAGCATGTGTGTGCAAATACGAACCCTGTTCAATAGTGTACAATGAGAGTGGCCTTCCGCAGCACTGCGCCCAAAAAATCGTCGCTATTATTAAATGCAGATATGACGCAGCTAGGCGTCGTGTACTTCACAAACTAAAGCTGCCTGAGTCCTTTTGAAGTTCATAGCGGGTTCGACAAAATTGCAAGCTCCCACCTCTTCTCTTCTTTTTTGGTGACTAGGGATGTGTTGGATGGTGCCATGAGGCCACTTTCCTACTGACTTCGGTATTCCATGCCCATCATGTTTCTCTTGGCGCATCGCCTTTCTGATCTGTCTAAACTTTACAACCGCTACACAGAGAATCTAAGGCGACAGACCTGTGAAAGAAGTTTAATAAGACAAAGTTCCTTAGTATGCCAGTGAAGTCTTGTGGCGACGTGTTAGTCTCCGATCAAACTCTTGAGACTGTGAGGAATTGACCGGCGAATAAGTAAAGCCCGAGCGGCCTTAGCTTCATGTTAGGGATGCCAATCCCGGGATCCCGGGAACTTGTGTATGATTTTTGTAAAATGCCGTTTTGACTACAATCAACAAAAAGCTTGAAACTTTACTTTAGAATTGCAGTCTGTTCATTTTTTCGAAGAAGATTTAAATGAGTGTATTTATAGCGTTACTAATGTAGATGAAAAATAAAGTTTTAAGGAAATGTTACATAACTTTTTATATCAAACTTCCTCAAATTGAAAAACTTATAATTTATCCGTCGGGCTCGTAAAAAAAGTTCAGATACTTTGTAATGGAGGATATAGAGGTCATTATCTTCAAATGGCTTATTACTACCTTTCGACAGTTTAGCCTAAAAGTGTTGAGGTCGAAAGATGTTTTTCATCAGCAGGCTCTGTTTGTAACAACTTCAGATCAAGATTAGAAGACTCCGCTTTGAATGCTTTGCTGCTCTTATGCACACATTTTAAGTGTAATAACAACAAAAAAAGGGGTGTGTGCTTTTAACTAGACCCATTTACCGACATGTATTTCGATCCGCTGAATTCGATTCTGGGGTCCGCTTGACTCGTATACCCCCAAAATTTTGAGTGACTTGCGAAAAAATGGCAAAATATTCGGCGTTTCTTTATGGAGTAGAATAAACATGTTTGGAGAATTTGTTTTTGTATATTTTTGTTTAATGTTTGTTTTTTTATTAATCATTACTTTCAAAAGTACCTGGTATTTAAATTGTTATTTGTGATGTATGCGTTACTCAATAAATATGTGATTTTTACAATCAGTTTATCGTAAATTTAAAATGGTTTTATTTCATTGTACATTTGTTTAAAATTTAAACTTTAAATGCTTTCAGATATGGAATCTTTACTCATGTTCATAAAAGTTATGTCTCAATGTGAATCCTGGGATAAATTCCGGA